AGCCTCCCGTTTAGAAAGGTACAGTATGAAAAGTGTGCAGGGAGCATACTTAATGCACTATACCTGTTCCTAAGCCATGGGCATTCCAGGTAGAACAGCCATTTAAGCCCTGTGTAAGTTCCCAATAGCCTCACTTGTATTTAACAGCACAACAAAACGACTCTTACCTGACCTGATGGATTTCTCCAGGAAAGCAGCGAGCACAGCAGCAATTGGGGAGGAATCTCCCTCCGCTGGTGGGGAGGGCTAGGGCCTTGTGGGGAAATCCTGTTGGAAAGAGCCTTTTCCTTGCTCCTGGACCTCTTTAATGTGTACGTCTCAGCTCTTTATGAAAGTGGATGATTTAGGAAGTATAAATGGATGCACTCTGGTGCATCATCACAGCTCAGCTACGCTTCATGGTTCTCTCGCCCTAAGAACGTGGGCTACACGCTTGATCAGCCAAGAGAAGCTGCTGCATCTCCACTGATATATAGTTCAAAAGGTGCGGTGCATAGCCACTGTAACAAGAAAAGGATCAGTTCGTGGCCCCAGGATATTAACATGTTCCTCAAACCACCCTTCCAGGAAAGTTATGACACTAGAGTACTATGCAGGGGTTCTCAGGACAAATTTTTTGGTGGCCTCAGAGTGCGGCCACCAACTCTTGCTGGTGGCCTCTCTCACACTTTCCCCTAAAATACTTAATTAGCTTTAGGAAAAACAAATAATTATGCACATATACATGTCCAAATCATTGTAATTTATTTATTGCTAGCTAGTAAGTCTATTGTAAAAAGTGATATTGTCAAACATAAAAACACAAATTAAGCCCTGGACGGGCGGATCGGGGTAGGCAGTAGGGGCCAGGAGCAATGGAGTTGTGGGGGCCAGGGGATCCAGTGTAGGGCCAGAGACTGAAGCCCCGTGGCCCGTGGGATGAGGATGGAGCCTGAAGCCGTGTGGCCGGAGCCTGGGGTTGGAGCCTGAAGCCCTGCGGCCGGAGATTGTCACCCCACCACCCCAGGGGTGAAGCCAAAGCCTGAGCCCTGCCACCTCTGGGAAGGTGGGGAACTCACCAGTTGCCTGCTCCTCCAGTCTTGTGCCCCAGCTATCTCCAGAGAGGGGCTGGGACCAACCCCTGCCTGCAGCCCCAGTAGACAACACCAAGCCGGTGCATCCAGGAGCAACAGGGAGGGGCCGCTGCTTTGCCCCCTTTCCCTCGGTCACAGCCCAGGAGGCTGCAAGAAAAGCCACTGGTGTCCACATTTGAGAAACACTGAGTTACAGCAGATCAAACCACATCATAATCTTTGCTAATTATTGTTAGTTTTCAAATTGCAACACATTATGTCTCACATCAATTTCTCCTTTGATTTGAAGCTGATTGAGAGCAGAACAAAATGGCTCAATTATAAAGTTACCATAGCTGGATCTCTCTAAAAATGAGCCCAACTTAATTTTAGCTCTGCATAATACTAAGGAAATCTCTGCTGTAATTTGGCAATCTTTTTAGGATGGTCCTGAGGGTGTAGCATAAAATAAGAAGGCAATTCACTTACATCAGACTTTTTGGTTTGCAGTTTAAGTTGATATATTTGAAATGAAGGCAAGGATTTGTTTAAACCTCTTCTGGAGTGAGACACCCATTTCCAGCGGCTGTGATATCTCAGCACGAAGCAGGGCGCGGGGAGAAGAGTAAGTGTAAGTAGGCTGACATGCTCCATACAGAGATTTTTCAGATTCACCTGGGAATGGTAAAATCTCTTGAAAATGGAAGTAAATAACTACATTAAAATGGTTTATCCTACCTCCCTAGCCCCCCCAAAACATAATGATCTGAAAACTAATTAGTACCACTCCCAGCCCCACCATGCTCCGGCATCCCCACGTTGACTTGTAGAGATGGGGATTGTAGGCTGCAAACCCCACTGAATCCATGGACCCATGGGTCAAAGAGAGGCCAGTCCTTGCTAGCACACCTCTGGAGATAGCCAGCCTCCTACCTCCTTGGTCAGAAGGATCCCACAAGAGCCACGATTCCATTAGTTATTCTCCCTGCAGCTAGGCACTATTCCCTGTGCCCCAGTGGTTTAGAAGGCTCTTGGGGGAGAGCCTAACCCTAACCCTAGACAGATTTCTGAAGGTGCTGTTTCCAGTTCATTTCATATGTGGAAGTAGGAAGCCTGTAAGTGATGGAGGGTAAGCATTGCAATGAATGCCTGAGAAGCCTGGCTTTCTGCTCCCACACATACACCACACCATATAGCTGTTATAGTCCTCAGACAACCACTCTCGCCCCATCCTGCACTCGCCCCTCTCGCTCTCTTTTTCTCAGACAGTTCAGGAAAGTGGATGGCTCAGAGCATTAGCAATGGGATACAGATCCTTTCACGTCTAGATCACTAGTTTAAATTCAGTCATGGGGCCCACTTCTCCCATTGCAAAATGCAAGCAACTCCCATTGATTTTCAATGAGAGTTCCACTGACTTCAAAGAGAATGAATTACATAATGCAATGGGAGACCAGGGACCAAGGTTGGTAGTGACCCACATTTGTTACCATGTGAGGGGTATTTGGTGATCATACCCACTTTCCAGCAGACAAACCTCCACCAATGTCAGGACTAGTCGGCCCACTCATTGTCAGTATCTGCCATTGATTGTCTGGCTCTGGAGACTGGGTTATCCTCTCAGCCCTTGAGGTGATCCCATCAGGTCAAGGGTGAGGAAGCTTGTTTTATGGATCTCACATAGGAATAAGCTTAGGATAGCACTGCAAGATGACAGGTTCCACCCAGCAGTAGTTGCTATAGGAATGTGTGAAAGAGATTTCGTTCTCCATGCCTACCAATGGGTCACTTTTCACAGAAAGAACATTGTCTTAAGATTGTCATGGTTTTAGGGATTGCCTCATTTGAACTGGTTGCTCTATGCTGTCCTGATGGCCCAGTGATGGCATCAGACTGTGAAACTGGCTCTTGGCCACTCTGATTGTGTTTGTTGTCTGCAGCAGCGTTTCTGATCCCCTGCTCTCTGTGTACTGTTATGAGACTAGCCCATCGAAACTGTCAATATAGTTTATTCCACAGCACACTTATTCCCTCATTTGCTCCAATGCATTTGAAAATCCTTAAGTATCAAGAGACATGGAATTAAAAAATAACAACCACCAAGTAAAAACAAAGCCATAACAACCAGGGGGCCAAATTCAACCCAGATGCAATTTTGTCAGAATAGCACCAGGGATGGAATTTAACTCACAGCATGTCTGAATCTTGTCAGTTGAAATAAAAGTGCAGCCATTGTAATAACAAATTCTGACTGTGTCACTTTCTCTAGATAAATGTAGAGGAAAATTTAAGGCATTGAGGGAAGGAGCTTAAAATCAGGTGATGCCCACATAATACACGCTGGAGAGGGAATCCTGGCAAGAATTTGATTGTGTGTATCTGTGTGTGTATTACCTATAGGTATAAGTATGTATATTAGAAATTCACAAGTATTCACAAGTCTAAGTCAAAACATCTAGAATGTTTCACTGGATGCAAAAAAATTCCTTGCAGCAAGATCAGTTTTTGCAATAAACTACATAATCCCAACCCTTTAAGTAGGTGACCATAGTTAACATTCACATTTCCTTACACTTTGCAAGTGGTGAATGAGAGGTCTGATTAAACATGATACAAAAAGAGCTTGCAAGTAGCACTGTTTACTAACATTTCAATTTCTATGCCTCATTTATTAGACTTAGAATAAAAAGGTTAGAGGGGTGTTTGGGATTGTCTTTAACCTTGATGATATTTCCACTGAAGCAGCATAATGGCTCTTAATTGCTTAAGTGAAGAGAACATGTTGACATGTCCTTCTTTGTGCTTAAAGCTCTGTGCCTAAACCATTATGCTAATTCAAGCATTATATACACCAAAGTATTTATGGGACTGACACAAGTGATGTTGCAGGTAAAGGGCTGTGAAATGGTCTGTAAACAGAGAGAATTGATTCCAGGCCCAAAGCAATGCTGTTAAAGTCACAGACATTGAACAGCCAGCCCTACAATTTCTATCCAGATTGTCAAACTGGGTCAGACAGTGTCAGCAGGGCTGCCATTATAGATCAGATGGGTGGTTTAATAATATGTAAACCAACCACATAAATGGAAATTAACGTGGAAGCATTGAGTACCTGATTCTGGCTTTTTTTTTTTTTTTCACAGCCGTTTTGATTACAGAATTCTGAGTTGCAACATTTGCTAAAACATTTAGGTGTAAAAACGTAAATCAGCATTATGGATTGTAATTGTATTTCCCTAAGTCAAGAGAGCAGCACTGCAGCCTGAA